TCAGTCACTGACCCCGGGGGACGGTGAGAGGGTGGGGGTCAGTCACTTACCCCGGGGGACTGTCAGAGGGTGGGGGTCAGTCACTGACCCCGGGGGACTGTCAGAGGGTGGGGGTCAGTCACTGTCCCTGGGTACGGTCAGAGGGTGGGGGTCAGTCAGAGGGTGAGGGTCAGTCGCTGACCCTGGCTATGGTCAGAGGGTGGGGGTCAGTGACTGATCAGGGGGAACGGTCGGAGGGTGGGGGTCAGTGACTGATCAGGGGGATGGTCAGAGGGTGGTGGTCAGTGACTGACCCCGGGGACGGTCAGAGGGTGTGGGTCAGTCACTGACCAGGGGGAACGGTCAGAGGGTGTGGGTCAGTCACTGACCAGGGGGAACGGTCAGAGGGTGAGGGTCAGTCACTGACCGGGGGAACGGTCAGAGGGTGAGGGTCAGTCACTGACCCTGGGGACGGTCAGAGGGTGAGGGTCAGTCACTGACTCTGGGGAATGAACAGAATCAATAACAGCCGCTTACCCTGGGATGGTGACTGGTTACTCATTTGATTACTCGACTGCTGGACTCCCAATTGGTCTCCCTCAATAAATCTCAGATTGTCCGAACTCCTGACTCTTTCTGAGCATGCTCCAAATCTCATTTACCTATCATCTGATACTGCTTGTTGTATTTTCAACCTCCTCTGTCAACTTGTCCATTTTACAATTCAAATCGTTCCATGACCACATTGTCCTTATCTCTGTAACCTCATCCAAGCCTACAACTCCTCCAAGACCTCACTATTCCTTCATTTCTGGCTCTTGCGCATCCTTAATTTTCATCATATGCCCAAACACATTGATTAAAAATATCTACAAGGACAAGGAAATTATTCAACATACTTAAGGAGTTCTTTGGTTAATTTCAAAGACATTTTCTAACCAAAAAAACATCTTATTCATTAGGAAAGCCAATCTGATCTACTATCCACTGTGATAAAATGCAAACATGGAGAAAGGTGTGAAAACTTGCTGCTTTTTTTTATTAGTGCAAGGGAATTTAAGGGACAATTTAAGGTGAGACAGATTAAAGGGATGACACAAAGCTGTTAGAGTAGTGGGGAGTCGACGAGCAAGGAATGTTCACTTAAGATTAAATATGAGATTTCTGTCAGGCAGGAGAAGTATTTTTACATAAACGGTTATGAGACTGTGAAAAGTACTATCAAAAATTAAAGCAGAGGTGAATTTGACATGTATAAATAGGGTGAAGGAAGGGAGAGTTATAAACTCTTTATCTGACATTTTTCTGTCTACGATGGAAAATTCTAGCATCCAAAAGTTTAAGTGAAATAAAATTGTTGTGTTTTGACTACGGTTCGTGTTGAAGATTTACGCTAACACGGATTGGTGAGGTGGAACTGGCTGTTTTTGTCTCTCTGGATGTGACATAATATCTTGTACTGATCTCCATTCCTGAATACCTTCATACCGTAGACCTTTTTTTTAAAAAAACGTGAGATAACATTAACTCACATGCTTAAATTTACAGTAATAATATAAGCAGCCAATTTGCACTTTCCATATAATTGTGTGCAATTATTGAATTCAAATAGAGCATGCACAAAACTGTGCAATAAAAATATTATCTATCTTTCCATCACCATTGGTTTTAACAATATATTGCACATGGTGTAAGACATCATATCCTTCACCTCATCATGTATAATGTTATGTGAAATATATCACTATTATCTTCGTTTGAGGCTTATAATGTGCAAAATATCAATTCCCATTTCAATAATGAAAATGGATTTTCCTTTAAACTAGTCTTCTTTTTTCCACCAGATTTCCACAAATTGTTCAAAAAAACCTCGTTTTTCAGCACCTGAAGTTTCTAAAGCTTGATGTGATAAAAGTTTAGAGTATATCATTATTATTTGGAAACTTAGGTTTCAAAATAGAGGGAAATGGGTTTTTCGCTTTCAGCTCTGTGAAGATGACTTGTTTTGTTTTAACAAGTCAGAAATTTTTTTTAACAGCAGTGTGTTAAAACAGCATTTCTAGAAATCATGTGGCAAGCAAAATTAATAGGCAAGGCATATACTGAGATAATTGCTGGAGTGTTGACTTAGTTGATCCTTTAGGATCCAAAGGAAAAAAATTTTAGAGGCTTGAACCACTTCCAGTTCTGAGGAAAAGATCCCAATGCAAATATGCTGTTTAGCAGCATCAAAATAACTGTGAAAAAACCTGAGTGTTTATCTCATAGAATTCAGTGAGAAAATGAAGTGAGTTTAGCCTGTGTGTGACACAGGAAGAGAATCACATCTCTGAAAGGAGGCACTTGTGACCTCATCAGCTGAGTAAGAATTTAAAGAATTAAGATAGGAGTGATATTTCATTGGGCTGAGAATAAAGCATATTGTTGGGGGAGAATGGTTGAATCTTTTGCTGCTTGTAAGATCTTTCCGAATTAGATTGAAAATATATTTTGCATAATAAACTTATGTTCTTTTGTTAAAAGTACATTGTCAGCCTCATGTGAATATGTTCAATCACTGACCACCGTGGTAACCAAATTGCAAAAGGTCTATCAGGCCAGGTTTCACACTGTGATTTGACTTGTGTAGGATTGCCATCAGCTGCAATTATTTAGTTTAATCAAAATGAGTTTAATCAAAATATGACTTTTTTTTCAAATGAAAGTGATTGAATGTATGCATTGAGTTGTCTTTTGGTGCCCCCATTGCAATTCTGGCTTGAATGTTTCAGTCTGTTTCAAAAGAACCTGAAGTTTATTTTTGCTAGCTGTCTGATTCTGTGAATGATTTTGGATTGTGCTGTCTGAGCATTAGAGGGCATATATATTCTGCAGTGTTTTGCAGGTACCTTTTCTGATCTAATATTGTCTTCAGTTTCTACCACTTCCCAATAATTTAAAGAGGAGTAGGGAATATATCATAAAAATAATTGAGGTTAAATTTATCTGGAGACTTTTAGAAAAGAGGACACGTATTTTACTGAAGAAAAATGAGTGTGCTAATGACATACCTGCAACTTTGTTGTGAAAATTTCAAATATTGTATTAAGCGGAGAAAATGAGAAGTGATCCTTTCTCATGCTACTGTCCATTATCAACAGAATAAGAGCAATTTAGTTTTAGTGCCAAATAATTATCCTCATCTGTAATTTGACGAAAACAATCGCTGGTGTTACTAAGAGATTATACTGAGGCTGAGATTCTAGCTTGTACAAATCCATGGTCCAGGAACAAAGTCTTGCATAGGAAGATGTTTGGTTTCTTTCCTGATTCTTCTTCGAATATTTTTGAAGTTGTTGAGTTTTAAAAGCAATATCATTAGAAGGCAGACGCATAGGAAAAGATGCAGAAGGGATGGTGAAATTACAAAGTTATCAGTCATTGAGGGAGAGAGAAAAGGAATAGAAAGAATGAGAACCAGAGCTAAGAGCAACTGGGTGAAACATTATTGAATGTGGGAGCTTTTGAGAGTGATTGCCAGGAAAGAGATATGTTAAATAGGGGATGATTGAGGAAGGGAATGAGGGCAGGCAGCTAAATTATAAAGACGAGAGATTATACATCATTGAAAGTGTAAACTGTGATTCTTTTTATTTAGTCATGGGATGTGAGTGTTGCTGGCTGGCATTCTTGTCCATCCCTATTTGCCCTTGAGGTGGTGGTTGTGAGCAGGAAGTGGGAGTTGATAGAGATAATAGGTGTTAAGGGAGGAGACGATCTGCTGAGGGCTGGGTGGCAAAAGAGACAAACTCATACAACATTAAAAGTATGTGTATGTGTACCTCTTATTAATTTTTTTTGTTATAAATTCCTGAATCCACATTGAGAATGAAAACTGCCTACGTATATTATTAATTTTACATATTATCTTTACATTCTTTCCCTTCTCATTAGACCCTGTGGAGGTGCTTCAGACACACTTACTCTTGGAATGCTGCAATTCTAATTTAACGAATTTACCTTGGCAGCCTGCAATATAAATGTAGACATAGTAATTTGTCATTGGAAAAATAAGATGAATGCCAAAATATAGAAATTAAAATGGAGATTGAGCTATGCTTGAATGTTCTGATTTCTAATGTTGCTTCATCTTAAAGCTAAACGCATTCTGATATCATGTGGAGCATAATGGGAGATTGACTGGTTTATGTTTTCTTTATTCATTCATGGGATAAGGGCGTCGCTGGCCAAGCAGCATTTATTGCCCATCCCTAATTGCTCAGAGGGCAGTTAAGAGTCAACCACATTGCTGTGAGTCTGGAATCACAGGTAGGCCAGGCCAGGTAAGGATGGTAGTTTCCTTCCCTAAAGGACATTAGTGAACTAGATGGGTTTTTCCTGACTATTGGCAATGGATTTATGGTCATTGTTAGACTTTTAATTCCAGATATTAGTTGAATTCATGGCAGGATTCAAACCCAGGCCCCCAGAACATTATCTGGGTCTCTGGATTAACAGTCCAGTGATAATACCATTAGGCCATCACCTCCCTAAATCTGGTGGATCTCCTTGATGCACAGGAAGAGAGCCTGAGAGGCCTCCACTTCTGGTTTGGATTTAGGCCCATTCAGTTCTCATCCACTACTATTTGTTTCACTTCACCCAGAATAAGAAAATTGAATCAACTTGGTTTCCAATTTTCACCCTTTCTTCAAATAATCCATCTCTAATTCTTCACTTTCAACTTGTCTATCTCCATTTCTCAGACCAGGTTATCAATCTATACTCACCATAAGCCCAGCGACTTCCGAAGCTATGATGAATGTACATTTTCTTGGTCCTGCTTTCTTTGAGGACTTGCTTCCATTCTTCCAATTTCTTTGTGTCCGTTGCATTTGTTGTAATGATGCCGGTTCCACAGCAATGCATCCGATGCATCATCCTTTCACCTTAACCAAGGATTCCATGATACACTAGTTGACAGGTCCTTCAGCCACATTCATTCCATTTCCAACATTTCAATTCTTAACCTGTCCTTTCCCCATAGATCATGATAAAGTTCACCTTACCCTCACCTTCCTCTCCCACCAGTCTCTATAATCAATAGATTATCCTCCATCATTTCCATCACCTCCTGCATGATGCCACATATTTCCTTTTCACCTTTCTTACAAACATAAGAGTGAGTGCAGGCTATTTGGCCCCTCCAGCCTGCTCCGCCGCTCATAAGTTCTTGGCCGTAACTTCCAAATTCCTGCCAACCCGATTACCTTTGACTGTTGTTAGCCAAGAAATTCAGCATTCTGAAGGGACCAGTCCCTCTGCGATGTCCCTGCCAACTCCAGAGTCACCCCCAACACCATCTTTTCTTCCCATTGCACTTCATGTGCAAGTGCAGGAAATGCACTGTATGCCCTTTTACCTCAACCCACGACCACGTCCCCACACACATCCCCTGGATGAAACAGTAAGTGACCTCTATTTTTCAAATATAGCACTGCATATTTGCTGATCACCAAATGGTCTCCTCTTCAGTGGAAAGACCAAACACATATTGGACATTGTAGAATACCTCCATTTGTCGGCAGGACTGATCTGGATCTTCACATTCCCTGCCTTTTTAATTCTTCACTGGGTATGGGGGTGTGGTGTGGATCTCGAGTGGGGGAAGAAGAGGTGTCAGGTCAGGTGATAGGGAATGGGAGGTGTTGGGTCCAGAGTGGGGAAAGGAGAGGGAGCACGGGGTTGGGGGTGGGGTAGTAGGAGTCTATGTTGCTTGGGAGTGGTTGAGGTAAGTATGGGTCAGTCAACTATTCAGGAGTTAGACTATGTATTTCATAATCTTAACTTTTTCTGACCAACTGTTCTACTTCATTTTATTGCAACCCTTCAAATTCTCTGATTTAATTGGCTATTTTCAAAAGGTCCTAGCCATGAAGACATTGCTGAATGAAATCTTCAGTTTCTGCCGCAGTTCCTTCAGAGTCTCCTATGATGGAGATTCCGCAGAATCCCTATGTGCAACTCCCATCTATGCTGAAATACCTAGTGGCCAGCGGATACTCTGAGCCCACATCTCTATCCTTTCCGATCAGTTTATTTTCACTGTCCAATACTCTGACACTCACAATAAGATACTAATTGAAACCGAAAGAACTGCGGATGCTGTAAATCAGGAACAAAAACAAAGTTGCTGGAAAAACTCAGCAGGTCTGGCAGCACCTGTGAAGGAAAAAATCAGAGTTAACGTTTCGGTTCCGGTGACCCTTCCTCAGAACTGTGTTCTGAGGAAGGGTCACCAGACCCAAAACGTTAATTCTGTTTTTTCCTTCATAGATGCTGCCAGACCTGCTGAGTTTTTCAAGATACTAATTGATGTTACTTATTGCTTGTAGTTTATCAGTGGCTTTATATATTTTCTTCTATTATGTTCCAGATTGTCCAGGAACAGGCAGTGATAATGCTGGTAAAGCTTCAGCTTGCCAGGGCTGTCCGAATCAAGCTTTCTGTGCCTCAGGTGCCTCCAAAGCTTCAGATCCAGGTACATTTTAAAGAGTAATTTTGCTCACCATTAGCTAATTAACGTGGATACTTTCCTGAATGTGAAATTCCTTTCTTTTGTTTTTTTTCCCTGCAGCTATTCAGGAGATTAAGGAGAAGATGGCATCTGTTAAGCATAAAATTCTGGTTTTATCTGGAAAAGGAGGTGTTGGCAAGAGCACTTTCAGCGCACACTTAGCCCATGGAATAGCGAGTGATGACTGTAAGCAGGTAGAGAGTCAAAGTTTCATTACATTTGTTTCTTCGTTTTGCAACTTCCAACAGGAGGGAGTGTTATTTCCTGAAGACTTTTAAAACCTAGTAGATATTAGCTTGTTCCTCATCCCCTCGTTTCCCCTGCTGCATCAGCCTAATGTCCTTGCTACTGTGTTCCCTTTCTCTCTCCTTTTATTCATCTAATTGTACTTTCAAATCTCCAACCGTCTTATTTTTGCCTCTCTATTCACAGTGACATTTCTACAGCTGCTGATCTGCTTCATCATAACATCACCTTTGATTCCCTTGTCTACATTAAAAGCATTACCCTCTCTCTGTCTCACTCCGGTCATTCCATTGGTTTGCTCTGAAGCCTACTCCCTTAGACGCAAATCACACAGACTTAAGCATACCGTGTCATACAGCACGGAAGCAGACCCTTCGGTCCAACTCGTCCGTGCCCACCAGAAATCTCAATCTGACCTAGTTCCATGTGCCAGCATTTGGTCCATATCCCTCTAAACGCTTCCTATCTATTCATATACCCATTCACGCCTTTTAAATGTTGCAATTGCACCTCCACTTGCTATGGCAGCTCGTACCATGCACGCACCACCCTCTGCGTGAAAAAGTTGCTCCTTAAGTCCCTTTTAAATTTTTCTCCTCCCACCTTAAAGCTATGCCTTCTACCCCACCCCCACTCTAGGAAAAAGACTCTGGTTGTTCATCCTATCTATGCCCCTCATGATTTTATAAACCTCTGTAAGGCCACCCCTCAGCCTCTGACACTCCAGGGACAAAAGCCCCAGCCAATTGAGCCATTCTGTTTAACTCAAACACTCCCATCCCAGAAACAGCCTTGTAAATCATTTCTGCACCATCAAATTTAACAACATCCATCCTATAGGAAGGTGACCAGAATTGTACGCTATTCTAAAAGTGGCCTCACCAATTTCCTGCACAGCTAGAACATGACATCCCGACTTCTATACACATTGTTACCACTGGTTTCTCCATTGATTGCTAGGTCTGGGTGGACCTCACAGGCACTACTGGATCTTGCTATTTGTCTGTCAAACTGCTTGTAACTCCAGAATCATCCTGAAATCCAAAGATAGCTCCTGACTTCTATTCTCCACTGCAAACCATTTTCTTCAACCCCTCTCTCCTACCTCTCTGCCCTTGTCTCAAACAAGTGCTAGGAGCTCATGAACATGTCACTAAGGATGAGACAATTCTACCAATTGTCTCTGAGGATTTCTTTCTGAACTGCTCCTAAGGTTTCCCCTACTCTAACCTGAACCTTGCATCCTTCTCTACTTTCTCCTTTCAGAAAGACTTTGCCCATGAGACCCACCTCCTCTCCCTTGACCCTATTCCCACCATACTGCTAGCCACAGAACTTCTCCTCCTGACTTGAATATTAGCTGTTATTGTTGTTTTTGCTCTCTATTCAGATCATGTCCCTCTCACCTTCAAATCTGCTCAAAAAACTTTGCCTTGCCTTGCCTTGTCAGCACTTGTAAACTACAAGGCTTCATCCAACTTCTCGTTCCTCTGCTTGACCATGAACCAGCCCTCTTAATCCATGCCAATCTTTCCTGCTGTGCCATGGGGCTGTATAAATGCAAGTTGTTGTAGCTAAGTTAATAATTTGGAATCTGAGATGGATAGTTTTTTGTTAGCTAAGGGAATGGAACAAAGGAAGGGATTGATGGGGTTAAAATGCAATTCAGCCGTGATCTCATTGAATGATAGAAAAGGTTAGAAGGCCTGAATGGCTTCCTCCTGTTCCTGTGCTGCCATCAGTGGGTATGTCTTTAACTCCCAGTAATAAAACTGAACGCAGAGACTGGCAAGCTTCCCCAGAGTGAATGCTAATCCTTTAAACAAAATGGTTTTAATCTTCCTCACTGGTGGAATTGTGATTGTGTGTTCAGGCCTTTTCTGTGTTTGTGATTGCTTTAATGAGAACTGGCATTGCCTATACATTTGCATCTTGGTGATTCTCTTCTGGTTACTGGGACTACCTCCTCATGCTGTTAAAATTTATTCTAGGTGGAAAGAGTGTACAGATTAGGTTGGCAGCTAAGAAAAGTAGACACTTAGGATTGCAAGAAAGATTTGTTCTGAAACACGTGGGAAAAATGCATTCCTCTCCCTGAAGTGACTGTAAGCAAATGCATATTTGATCTGTCATTGCAGAAAGAAGCCTTTGCCTCCACTCCCACATCATGACTTTGCTGTCTGAACTGTTCCCAAATTGCAAAATAAATAATGGAATAAATTTGAGTGATTCATCAGCGTGATTGTGTGTGAAAGAATTTCTGCTTAAAGTAAAATCCCTCCTGGCAGTCACCCAAAATTGCAGGGTTTTATGCATCTTTCCAAAAATACTGCAAGTGCTGACAAACTGACCACATATGTGAACCTCGCAATGTAATGGGCTCCTTGCATTCTCCACCCTATTTCCGTGACTTAACCACACTTGACGACAAGTGTTGCTAAGGAAGAAAATATAGCAAAGTATTTCAGCAATTTGTACTGGAGGAGTACTGGGGAAGACACAATGGTGCAGACTTGTTCCAAAACCTTTTGTGGCATTAGTGAAGGAGGGTAGGGGAAGAATAGTCCTGGTCGGTTGTTATCAAACAATAATATACACTTTGTTGCGAAATGGAGAAAATATGCATCGAAAATTGCTACACATGGTAGTTTCCTCCAGTTTTTATCATTGTGTGGTTATTGTGGAGCCTAGTATAGAAGGAGAAAATTCTAAATTAGAAAGTGTAATGGGTTTTGTCCATTCAGAGGCTGTTTTGTTGCTTGCTAACGTAACAAGGTTTGGAAAAAATATTTCCATAGAATTACATTTAATTTTACAGGACTAAAAAGGGTTATTTGGCCTTACAGATCTTTGCAGTGGTCATGCTTTACACTACCAGGTCCCATCTTACTATATCTTGCCCAATCATCATATATTTCTTATTTATTCAAGAGATCTTTTTATTTATTCAGGGGATGGGGGCATCACTGGCTGAGCCAGCACTTACTGCCCATCCCTAGTTACCCTTGCAATGGTGGTGGTGAGCTGTCTTCTTGAACCTCTGCAGTCCATGTGGTGTAGTTACAACCACAGATCTGGGTGTCACAGGTAATTTCAACATTCATTGAATCAATGTTCATCCTTATTTGCCTCTGAAAAAGTGGTGGCAAATCAGCCTTTTAAATGATTGCACTTTGTGCGGTGAAGGTTCACACGCTGTGAATTTAGTTATGATTTTAACCTAATGACAGTGAAGAAACAGCAATATAGTTTCAAATCAGGATGATATATAACTGGGAGATAGTAGTGTTCCCGCCTGTCTGCTGCTCTTGTTCTTCCAGCTGGTAGAGTTTGCAGGAGCAAATTACTGCAGATGCTGGAATCTGTACTGAAAACAACAAATGTTGGACATCATAGCAGGTCAGACAGCATCCATGGAGAGAGAGCAAGTAGTGTTTCGAGTCTGGGTGACTTTTCGTCAGAGCTGAAATGAAGTGTGGAGGGGACTGCATTTATGTTATAGTTTTGGAGGGGGTTGCTGTTGGGGTAGTGTGCTGGTGGAAGAAAGATGTTGATAGTTCAGAATAAGTGATCGGAGTGTGAGAATGGCAAAACAGTGGTGTGTCTCCTTGAAAGGACAAGACATTTCCACTGGGATGGGGGGAGGGGGGAGAGAACATGATAACAGAATGTAATGAGCTAAAAGAAAGGAAACAATTGGAGTTGGCTCACAGCATGACGATGTTGAACTCAATATTAAGTCCAGAGGCTGTAAAATGTTTAGTCTGAAGATGAGATGTTGTTCCTCCAATTTGTGCTGAGATTTACTGGAACACTGCAGCGTGCTGAGGACAGACACATGGGCGTGTAAGCAGGACGGTGTGTTAAAAAGACCGGCTATGGGATTGTGGGCTTGGCACATAGTGTTGAAGAAGCTTTGATGCAGCCACAATGAACAGGCGGTGGAGGAAGTGAATATTTAAGATGGTCAGTGTAGTGCCAACCAAGCAGGCTGCTTTAGCAGTTGTGGTGTTAGACATGTGGAGAATTGTTAAAGTTACACTCATCCAGCAAATGGGGAGGATTCCATCACACTCTCTCCGACTACTGGTTTTTAGATAATGAAAAAGCTTTGGAGAGTTAATTTCAAATTTCTTAGAATAAATCCCCAGGACCTGAACAAGCGTATACCAGGACATTGATGGAAGCTAGGGAAGAAATTACAGGACCCCTAGCAGAGATATGTGTTTGATAGACAGCCATGGGTGAGGTGCCAGAAGACTGGAGGGCGGCTAATGTGTGCCATTATTTAAGAAAGACTGCAAGGAAAAGCCAGGGAACCACAGACCGGTGAGCCCAACATCATGTTGGGAATCATAGATTCAGAGAATCCCTTATGTGGAAGCAGACCATTCAGCCCATCGAGTCCACATTGACCCTCCAAAGAGCAACCCACCCAGACCCAGCCCCACCTACCCTATCCCTGTAACCCTGCATTTCCCATGGCTAATCCATCTAGCCTGCATATCCATGGACACTATGGGCAATTTAGCATGGCCAGTCCACCTAATCTACACACCTTTGAACTGTGGGAGAAAACTGGAGAACCTGGAGGAAACCCACACAGATACAGGGAGAATGTGCAAACTCCAGACAGATAGTTGCCTGAGGGTTGAATCAAACCTGGGTCCCTGGTGCTGTGAGGCAGCAGTTCTAACCGCTGAGTCCCCGTTCCATCCAAGTTGTTGGAGGGGATTCTGAGAGACAGGATTTACATGCATTTGGAAAAGCAAGGACTGACTAGGGATAATCAGCAAGGCTTTGTGCCTGGGAAATCTTGTCTCACAAACTTGATTGAGTTTTTTGAAGAGATGACCAAGAAGATAGATGAAGGCAGAGCGGTAGACGTTGTCTACATGGATTGTAGCAAGGCCTTTGACAAGGTTCCACATGGTAGACTGGTTAGTAA